TGCCCATTCCGTGGCAATGGTACTGGCCTGGTCGCTGGGCCAACGTGGCCCATCCGGCGGTAAATATTAAGTAAGTGCCTATTGACAACACCACGTCGACATTCAAGCTCGTAGTTTCATGTAATGAATCTCCTTCCTGGGGTCTTGATGCGACCTTAGGCGCTTGATTGCGCTGTGAGGACATGCAGAAAACGTGCGTCGCTTCAAAACACCACTACATAATACTTACCTAACCTTTAGGTAGTGTATCTTTTCGTTGGGTCTCGGCCTCCTACGTAGAGTACCTAGGTAGCTCAGACATGCAGGAAGCTGATGCGGGGGCGGCCTTAACTCATTGGGGTTCGGCCCGCTATGGAGCCTACCAAGTATCTAGGTACTCCGCTCCGCACTGTAACATGTAGATGGGACGACTCTAATTGCTTCTGTTGACATATTGAATTCTGGTGGTAATGCCTACCCAATCTAGTCTAGCGGTTCTACTGTAAATTTATTAGGTTTGTAGTGAAGTTGATTTGTACGAAAGCTACAAGGGGTACTCCGGCCGTACGACGCTGCATCGTTGTGCCTATGAATGCAAAATGCGCCTCGCATCATTCGGCCTACTTTGTCGCTGGAGGCTACTGCGGAGGCTTTCCTGTGGTATTGCTCGGCTACGCCACGGTGGTATTCCCCACGCCTTAGCTGATTGTCCCGCATATGCTAGGGCTTGATCACCGCAAAAGCAATATATGAAAATCATCGTGATCGAGCAAGGTTGAGCGCTAGATCGCGCTCATATGATCCAGATTCTTGCACCCCTTGTAGAGGGCTTCGGCTACCGTCCCTGCATCTAATATGCCATGACAAGCACCACAACTCGACGTTGGCACGGAGGTGGCATAGGTTCAGGGCCGAATTTTTAAGAGTGTGATCTAGCCTAGTCTCTTCCGTATTCCCGACAACGACCGTATTACCCGCAACTGCTTAGGATAGCATACAATTCAACCTTCCTTACGCAATAATTAAAATAATAATAATAAAAAGTGAATATTTGCATCATAAATATGGCGAACGCACCAACTGCCGCCGTTAGATTATCCTCTATAGCTGTAAGGATGACCATGGAAGTGTTCTTGGCGTAAGGTGTGTGTAGTATTCTGTACATTGGCTTGCTGTCACCCGCATTCTGCTATCTGTTGTGAGACGTAGTGTATCTACGCCAGGGCAAATCGACATATGATAGGTTCTAGGTTAACCGAACACTCGTCATAGGTGCCACCACCCCAAGTCCTCGAGGGACGCGTTTGGTTCGGATGAGCCGCCTGGAGTTGATATGCTGCGTCGATAGAAACGGAAATAGTAACATCTTGCGACTTTCTTATGTCCAGCTTGATAATCATATTATGAATCAGTCAGACTGAGGTATTCAACTTTCCACTTTCCGTCCATTCTATCTCTTGTCGGATGAAAAAGCTTCCATCAAATATCTTCGACTTGACGATAAGTTTATCACCTTGGCCACTATATATCGATATGCTTGCGGGAGCCCTTCTACTTGCCGCTATCGCGGCCATTGGCGTGAAGGCCATCTTGTTCCTTCTCAAGAGGAAGCCAGGGCCTTTGCCTCCAGGACCTAAGGGTCGTAAGTAACCTCCAGAGTTGATTTTCATCCTTGAATGATTCGGATATGAAAACGGTTACAAAACTAAGACCACCCCTTTTGAGTTACCCATGAATCCGACTGACTTCCGATTCCTATAGTGCCCTTCATAGGAAACATCGCCGGTCTCCCCATCCATGGAGAACGAGAATGGGAGCATTGGTTGAAACATAAGGATACCTATGGTCTGCGAGATCATTTTATTTTCCCCTGGTCGACATCCACATTCTCTATTATCATTGTTTCAATGATCATACGTACTTCGGCGATAGATGTCAAGAATATGCGGACTGACACTAATAATCAATCACAGGACCGATCAGTTCTATAACAGCATTGGGAACAACCTTCGTCATATTACATTCACCAGAACTCGCTTTGGAACTAATGGAAAAAAGGTCTTTGAAGTACTCATACCGACCCAGTTTTGAATTTGCCGACTTGTAAGCAAGCTGTCTCTGGATTTCATGTATCGAGGCTCACCTACTTGAAGCGTCGGCTTTTCCGATGTTCTCGGTATGAGGCAGTATGGAGAAACTCATCGCCTTCACCGGAAGGTCACACATATATCAATCGGAACTCAGTTGAGTGTCATGCCATACATACCCCTCCAGGAGAAAGAAGCGCACCGATTTCTGTTTCGTGTATTACAAGAGCCGGATGGGTTTTTCGATCACATCAGGACGTAAGTAATATACGGTGCTAAACTTCGTGACACGCTAAGCTGACGAATGCCGGCCTGGCAGTACGGCTGGCGCGATCATTCTCAAACTTGTGGTGAGTAAATTCTTAGTGTGCGCCGGAGAATGAGATTCCCTTTATGGGCCAAGACAGGGACCAGTATAAAACGCTTATACTTCACGTCCCAATGGTGATAACTGACGCCAAGTGCTGCAGTATGGGTACACGATAGAACCTCACAAGCCGGACCCGCTAATCAAGGTCATCGATGAATCTACGATACATTTCTCTCTAAGTAGTGCCTCAGCAACATGGTTTGTGGATACTATCCCCGCTTGTACGCCGTTCCCGGCACCAAAGTAGCTGCCAGGGCGTAGAAGAACTAAACAGTCACAGTAAAATATGTCCCGACCTGGGTGCCCGGTACAGGGTGGAAGAAAACCGGCACACAGTGGCGACAAACTTTAAACGAAGCCATGGGGAAGCCGTTTCAATTCGTCAAGCAGCAGCTGGCCAAGGGTGTTTCTGAGAAATCATTCGTTATGGATGCCCTCAAGAGTAGGGAGGATTTCGAATCCCCGGCGAACGATGATTACGTTCTCAAATGCACTGCTGTAAGTAACTCGCCGCTTTGTCATACCTCTTTTCATATTCTCTTTTTTGTAGCCCTTCCCTGTATTACGAAACGGAATCGCGGCAGCACACTACAAGCCTACTGCAAGTTGAACGTCGTCGAGTCGAAAAATTAGAAGACTGCGATTACTTATGCGTGGGGTCATAGCATGCTGTGTCTTGATAACTCATAACACTAACTATGGTTGTAACAGTTCTCCATGTATATTGGTGGCGCTGATACCGTACGTCACACTCATCCCCTCCACGAATACGGAGAAACAATAGATTGACTTTGCAACTAGAGCGTCAACACGTTAACATCGTTCTTTTTCACTATGACCCTATTTCCTGAAGTTCAACGCAAGGCTCAGGAAGAGATTGATCGGGTTGTTGGAACTAGCAGACTTCCTACATTCAGCGACAGGGAGAGCCTCCCTTATATTAACGCGATCGTAACGGAAGCGTGGCGTTGGCACACGGTAGTCCCTATGGGTCTCGCTCATGCTACAAACGATGACGACGTTGTCAACGGGTATCATATCCCTAAAGGGGCAGTCATATTGCCTAATGTCTGGTAAGTAACTTATACAAATAGCATTGATACAAGTTGCATTGGCACGAATTTCGGCACTACCTGCTTTGAATCCTATGACCTAATCACACGATAGGTGGTTTACGCATGATCCAGCGGTCTATCCCAACCCCTCGGAATTTGACCCATCACGCTATCTCGGCCCAAATCCAGCTCCAGATCCAACAAACCATATTTTTGGCTACGGTCGGCGTATTTGCCCTGGCCGGTATCTAGCCTATTCATCTGTTTGGCTAAGTGTTGCGCGGTCGTTAGCCGTCTTCAACATTGGCAAAGGTTTAGATAAAAGCGGTCGTGAGATTGAACCAACCACGACATTTACACCGGGTATCCTTAGCCGCCTAGAACCCTTCAAAGCTACGATCAAGCCTAGGAGCCCCCAACATGAAGCTTTGATTCGCCAAGTTGAGGAACTGTATCCATGGGAGCCTAGCAATGCTGATGAGGTGCAGAAGATTGTAATCTGAGCGTGTCTGACTAGCTGAGCTCCTTCATTACGTAAGGAATTGTCTACAATGGATGGGAAATTGATCATAGTTGCCCTGCAGATTGGCTTATAGGACGAGAATGTTTGGCTACAAGGGGAAATACGGGCGTGCCAGTTCACTTGAATTAATATTATCCTGCGACGAATTGGGAGCTTGCTCTGTTACTTTTCAGTCTCGAGCATCTGAGGTTATTAATGCAATTTACAAAATTTGATGGATGAGGCGTTAGTCAAAACGGCCAGCGATCCTATCCTAAGGATTCTATAACCCAAGACTCGCGCACCTCAACGTATCTATCCGTCATTCCTATCAACTTTCTAAGTGCTGCTAGGCTATTAAAATCTCCAACATCCTCAAAACCGTCTTCATGCCTTTCCTTTCACTTCCGAAATCAGTGCCCCTAATTCTCTAGGTCATTGTTGAAGCTTACGACGGGCCAAACTCCGCGACTGTATTCCGGTACCACTGACTAGTACCCCGACTACATATGCCTCTGGTCATATATATGTACCCTTCTGTGCCGTATATATGTTTTTTTGGTGATCTCTAGAATGTATTGCGCTTCGTGATGCTTGTAGTATTTGTACCTCATGTGGATAACGGGCGCGAGTAGGGCCGCAACGACGGCTGCTCGGACTGACCCCCATACCGGTCTCTGTTCTTCATTGGGTTCACTCAAAGCGTATTTGGCATGCAGAAGTCATCGAGGCGACGTCTTTGCTAGTGCTCGTGGTTATTTCTGTCTCCGAGCTTTTAGATATTGATAGAGGCTTATCGGCATTGAGGGACAGCCATACGAGGGTATACCTAAGTCCATTCTAGCGAATATGGCGGTCTTTCACTGTCTCATTACCACAGAGCTCCCTTTGATTCGACATGCGTGACACCCAAACCTTCGGTGCTTACCTAAGCGGACTCCATAGAGTGGATGACGGTCTTGCAACACCCACATGAATTTCATAATCCATCTCAGTTCCATAACAACGGTCGGTTAGCTCAGTCGGTTAGAGCGTCGTACTAATATAATACAATGTGTTATTTATATAAAGTAATGCGAAGGTCATGAGTTCGACCCTCATACTGACCACACTGTATCTTCTTTCCCTGTCCACCTAAGAGGTACGAAATGATTTTGTATTATTCTTTTCTCTTCGTCCTTTTTTTTGTGTTCCATATCTACATCGATATGGCAGCGTTGGCAACGAAGCAGACGGCAAGAGGGTAGGTAGGTAGGTAGGTAGGAAAGGCAGGTGGATGTGGAGAGATAATATTTAAACCATATACACACATACATAGCGTTGCATACATACAATTGCAAGTCACAGTATTCTTAGCAAGACATGTTAGTATGTAGTATGTATATAATATAACTATTATATATACTAGTACTCGTAGAAGAAGTCAGTAGTGATAAGCGCACTGTATGTAGTTTCTTTCGTAGGTGCTACGTACTATATACTGACAATAGGTGTCGGTTTGGTAACGGTAATGTAAGATTAAGTTAGCTAAATGAGTGTTTCTCGACGGCTTAATTGAACGCTTGTGGTTCCAGACTCCCTTCTTCCCATTCATTCATTCTCTTTGACTATCGGGCTTCCTACCTCTAGGATATTCGTTACGTCACCTAAGCGAATTATCTATTTTGATACAGAGACTAATCTCAACGAACGGTTAGGTTACTATTTTCGAAAAGTATCTCCAAAACTGTTTTAAGAAAAATGAGTCCTAGTGAAAATGTACATGGTCCGTGTCAAAAGATACATGATGACCTATCTCCTTTGGACTTTGATGACCAATAATACCGTGCTTTAATACCGTGCCCTCATTGCTATCTTTCTAGCAGAGAGTGCCTATAACCTTTATCAGATGCATGAACTGCTCTTTTGCTGATTGGGGATGATTCAACGCCCGACGCTGCAGGCTGCTTGGGGGCCAGACTCAGCTCATGTACACAGCCCGCCAAAGTACATTCAAGGCGCCGTAAAGCCAGCCTCCGGCGCGCGTACATAAGCAGCCACCTTCTACTTCCATCAAAAGTTGATGCATTTTGGGTAGTATCGAGATAGTAGGATCCCACTTAACCCCTGTGCTGGGAACGGGTGCATTGGCACTCACGAGGAACCCACGAGTTGAGAATTCTTAATGCTGAGTCCCTACTCCATCCGCGCGAATTCCCTGCTGCCCCAACCTGTTCTATTCTATTCTCCAAGCATGAACGCAACGCAGATCGCAAGATCTTCAAATCTCCAGAAGAAGCCACGAATACATTTCCTCTACTCCTGATGATAAGGGGATCGACATGGCTGTATGTGGATTGCATGTCGGAAAACCAGAAGACAAGTACTAATACAAGATATAGGAATTTGCTGGGCTTATATCAGCGTCTGCCAATATTCTTGGCGGCGTTGCCAAAGTCATCGAGCAAGCGATCGAAGCATGGGATCGCACCAAGAACGGAGCGAAATATCTTGATACCCTAGTTATTCATGTCAGGATAACGCGCGAGATTCTGCAAAAGATCGTCTGTGTCAAGAAAAACCAGCACGGACCAGAAGTCTACTCCGCTGTCAAGCTAGTCAATAACACAGCTCAAGAGCTAGGCGCCGCTGTCGAAAGTTTGACGAAGTCGTATGAAGAGGGTGGTATCAAGCTCTTCTTAGACGAGTTCTTTCGCGGCAATGCTCGGGCGAAACATTTTGACAAGCTGCAGCGAGACCTACAGCATGCCCAGACCGTTCTTATTCTTGCGCTTGTAGCTAGCAAAGTCAGCAACACGAACCTTTTCAACATCAACATAAAAGTCTTGAAACAAGTCAAGCAGTGCTTTGTACGGTGCCGAGGGATCAACTGTGCGCCACCAATTGTCCACCTCGTCACAGAAAAGGGAACGTACCACACTGACCTAACCCACGCACCTACGACATGGCTACATAAGGTTTTCAACTTCAACGTAGCCCTACAGCCTTCCGTTGAAGAAAGGGAAACCAAGAAGTCAGTTTTTGGAAAAAGCTAGGTTAAAAACAAGCTGCGAACTCTACTAGGCTACAGGTCAAGGGATTAATATGGACGCTGACCCCAGAGGATCATTGGCGAATTGAAAGACCTTTTAAGCTTTTATTACGGATCGCCAGTCGAAAGGGGGTCGGGGATACGGCAGATTAACAGGGGGGGATCCTGAATATAAATTTACTAGATACGCTCCGCCCGCTGAGGACCAATGTGAGTCGTAGTGACGGAGTGTGGGATTACGTGCAATGTAACACACCATTTACGCTGGCTCATTTCGCCGACCCTAGCGTCTCCAAAATAAAAGATTTTGTCAATCCTCGGAGAGAAGCATTGCGTATACTCGAGTATTGCAAGTCACGAGATAAATGGAAGGATCCAGTATCTGAAGCAAGAGCCCACTGGATCATACCGGAACACTCGACTTACTTGCCTGAAGACCAGCCGTGGATCCTTCGAAGTCTACCGACGAGAGAATTTGTCCGATCGGAAGCTATCGCCATAAAGCCGAAATATGTCCATGGTCTCGTTGTAGGCTTTGGAGAAGTTATCATGTCACGCACCTGCTGGTCAAGTTCCCCATCGAAAGTCCATTTCAACAACGTGGCCGGCCCACCAAGGGGTGTATGGGCAGAGCACCGTTTTGATATTACCACGCTAGCAAAACACGAGAGTGGGAGCCATAGCGCCGAATGGAGCGACGTAAGTGATGAGGTTGCAAAGGAGATTGCTGAGATCTGGGGTCATGAATTCGGCGCTGATATACGTAAGGAACTCGGGTCCTGGTATCCACGACGACCAAACAGTTTCCTTAAACACGATACCTCCCTGAGGCAACCTTTAGTCCCTTTATATAGGACTTGCAACTTTGGAGAAGGCTGCGAGTCACGCGTGGCTACTATTAGCCTCATCCCTTGCCTTGCCTCTGAGACCTGCTGAGTTGTACGGGAGTCCAAACAGAATGAGACAGAATAGATCAAAATTGAACCACTGTCACTTATCTTCAATCGTAAGGCGACCTAACCACTAGACTAGCGTACATTTAGGATTTCATGCCACTAATGTCCCAACAAAGACTACTAATACGGCAGCGTAGGCTGCTACAGTAGCTACCACGACTTCGGGGCCTGCCGTCGAGTACCTGGGCACAATGGAGGCGAACAGAAGGACGGCCACCGTTGTTGTTATTAGATAAGTATACTTATCTTTGTGTAGAACCATAAGCCACATGGGCCCGACGAGCGCCAGACCGCCCGAAATGGCGACACTGTACCTCAGGCTCGATTCCCTGAAGGTACGGGCTCGGTTGATCTGGTTCCTTTGTTCAAAGCTCCCTATATTTGCTTGTAGCCCACTGCTAAAATATCCGCTGGCGCCCCCTTGGATGCCAGCCTTTGTCATCGCCTCTCTCGTTAGCGACCATTTACTACTAAAGTGAAAGGGATCTTTGGTTTTATCGTCGCCCACTTTCGCTTCGTACTCGACCATCAACTCCCAATCGCGTATGCCCTGAACTGCATCACTCATCAGTCAGCTATTTGCTTGTTATCAGGGTCCCCGGTCAACGCACCGTAATCTTCCAGAGCTTTCTTCAGCCCAGGGTCTTCGAGCGGATTCCCCCCAGCGAGCTGACGCAGTACCAACGGGCCAACCTTTTCAATGATAGTGGCTTGAAGATGAAAAAGCATCAAGCGCTGAACGGTCGCCACATTCAAGATTGTATTATTTTCCTTGTCCCGGATTAAGAGCTCTGGAGCCGCGGCCCTGAATAGCTTGTACAAGTCCTCATTTTCAGTCGAATCGTTGTCTGGCGGTGGAGGGCCCGATAGACGCGGCGCTGCCCGCGCCTCTTTGACCCGCTGCATTAGCTATATGGTTCTCTTCGCCGAGTGTATTTGAGCTGAGCGGCATCTATGACCGTGGCCTGGCAATGACGGAATATTGGATGGAAAATCGGTGATCTGAAAGTGATTCTCACCTGGCTTCCCTTGCTAGATCTAAATCAAAAGAGAAAGAGATTTCAAGGTCGGTATAAATATGCATCTTCAACCAACCAACTTCATAGCCTATTGTGCAAGGGAGCAGTATTGCGCTTGGATCTATCAATTTGCGAATGCATGTAACACAAAATATTGATTCATAGGCTGGCTACAAGAGTGAAGGCAAATAAACAGACTAGTCATAGCGTATTAAGTTCATGACCACCAAATCTTGAACCGGGCTTAAATTGGACTAATGAATTAGCCTGAAAGAACAGAGAATGAGTGGAAAGAGGATATCGTCTTGAGCGTTTCATTCACGTTGCTGGAACGGGTGACGTCACCCAGAGTATCGCTCAACTTCGGCTTGGCAGGGATGACAAGAGACATGCTTTTACAGGGGATATCGATGCAATAATCAGTCGAGTGAAAAGATACTAGCCAGTAGTTGCCGCCAAATAAGTTGATCTTGCCTAGCATCTTAGAGGCTCTAAAAGTCAGAGTTACGACAACCGAATTGGAAGAATTATCTATTAGGTATGAATCATACCGGAGTTGAAGAGGAGGAGATTTAGAGTAGAGAACTATATAGGGATGATTCTATTCAATGTAGTAAATCGTGAATTTTTACTCCTTCAGACAGTTTTGATGGCGAACCGATTCTTCCGATGCTTGAGATAGAGCGAACGATGAAACCGTCGTGTTTTGGCATACACGGTACTGGCCTACGCATATTCCTATTTTTATGAGCAATTGATAGACAGTTAGCCAAACAGACCACACAGGCTGTCAGCTTAGCAGCAAAGATGGATAATACGGATGTCGATCTTCTGGGCGTCATCCGCAACTCTTATGGCTTGGCCATCTCAACTCCTCAAATAGTCGCGATTCAGCGTCCGCTTCACGTTTCCGAGCCTAAACCGACGACGATCCACTAAGTAGGTCTCTCGTCAGCCTCATCTTCCAAGAAATTCCCCACTGTATAGTATATGAATGAGCAAGAGTGTGCGAGACTAATTCTTATATAAAAGGTAGGTCTCCGTAGAAACGAGATCTTTTCAGTTGTTACTTTCAATATCACTCGGTCGCATAGACATAACAA